TCTGCAGAGACCTGACGCACCTCATTACATAGCAGAGAGCTCAGCCCTCCCAGCACACATCCAGACCTTGGAGCCTCTCGGGAGCTAAATCTACCAGCAGCCCAGCCCCGGGCACACCCCCGCCTCCTTCCCCACCCATGGGTGGGTTCCCGCAGAGGGGCTGAGCACCCACACCTGCTCCCCTATTCCCAGCTCCACCTGCAGCCAATATGCCGCCGGAGCCATCGCTCTCCCCAAAACTCATCCTGGGCTTCGGGCTTCCCCGGGCGAGCTTGGCTCCGGGTTCAGGGAAGCTGGGATGAAGGTGAATGGGGTGTTGCAAAACACCTCCGGGCCTCCGAGCCCGGTGGTTTGGAGGAAAAATGGGGTTTTCCAGCCTTTATCTCCCAAAAGCGGGACTGCGCAGCCGCTCTGGCACCCAGCGCGCTGCCGTGCTTCAGTTTCCCCTGCTTTAAAATGAGAATAACGCCGTGATTTCCTCCCAGAGCTGATTCCAGACCCGGGGACGGGGCAGCGGCACTGTGGGGGTGCCCGTCCTCCCCGGGGAGCCCCGTGTCACAGCATCCCCCCGAGCAGAGGGGATGTCGCCCTGGTGTTACCTGCTGTCCGAAGCCAGGTCTCGTGGGCAATTTGGGCCTCTGCCAGCGTCAGAAAATGCCTCTGCCGCCACCCCCACGCCTGTCACAAAGTCCTCCGGCGTGGGGTCATGGAGAAGTGTCCCCAGCGCTGGGGCGGTGGCCACCGCGACCTTGCTGCACGCCCGTCACCGTGACCTTGCCACCGGGGGGGCAGAGCCTTGGGATGGGGGTGCCGTGGCCGGGGTGGTGTCCCCACCAGCACCCCCTGGGCAAGGGATGCAGCGGATGCTCCCGGCTGGGCGATGCCATCAGCGCGCTCAGCTCGACCCCGCTGGGATATCGACTGTTGTGGCCGGGCTCGCCAGGGACAGGAGTAGGACACAGCGATGGCCTGGCTGGGGACAGGCAGCGGGGTGATGATGGAGGACGGCTGGGCGCCACCGCACACACC